ACACAATTGGCACAGAGTAATGGATAAAATCAAAGATAATATTATTTATTTTATTAGACACAGAATGAACCCAAAGCACAAAAAAAAATTTTAAGTTTATGGGTTTTAAAAATAAATTAGACAGTAAGAAATAAGATAATACTCCTAGAATGACTATTTACAATATTAAAGAAGAGTATTCATTGGCGAACCGCTTTAGTTGAATAATAGGGAAGTTTGAGCCATAGTTTGTAGGAATGGGATTAGGAAGAGGATGATAGAGTGTGTGATAAGTTAGGTGTGCGGAAATTAATCAATGAAAGTAGAAAAGGACAACCTATTTTACTAGTGAGAAAAGAAATAATAGCCAGGATATAAGTTAGGACATAAAGTGCGGGAAACAAATGGTATTATAGTAGTAATCTCAATTTATCACAAGTTTTAGTTTTGAAACTCAAATAGGTACGCATACATTTCATTAACTTTAATTAAAAATAATGTACTGAAAAATGTTGAGTTTAGTTTAAAAAAAAACACCCAAAAAATGTACATATTTTTCAACTTAAAAATACTACACTCTAACACTTTTTTTTTAAATGCTCTAACTATTTCCAAATTTGTATGGAATATTCTTTTAACATAGTACTACCGGTAAACATTGGCTAACCAAAAAAATAGCATAAACCCTTTTTCTAGGAGGGATAGAATTTATTTTTCTTTATTTCACTTTTTCAAACTAAGTTTTAGTGATTAGAGTTTAAAAGTAGACCAAAGGTATAGCTACAGTGAAGCTATTACATTATAAATATATAATATTTTCTGTAGTCAATCATTAAGGAGAACCAAAAAAAAAAAACATTTTAAGCGAAAAATTATAGTATAATAATTATAATAAAAGAAAGTTTGTAATTTTTTAAAACATTTTTTACATTTATAACGTAGAATTTTATTATTAGATAACGCATAAGGACTTTTTGTCAAACGAAAGGATATTTTGAGGTTAATACATTACTATTTTATAATATGCATACATGCAAGCTTTAATTTTTATCAATTTTTTAAGTAATAGTTAAAATATGTGTGTGTAGATTTTGGTCCAAGCCGTTGCCACCCGTAAACATGACAATTGTCTATTCATTTCCTTAAGAGTTGTTGCAGTTCGCCACCACCGGGTGGTTCAGCGTCCGTTTCTTTTTTGAAGTACCTGGTTGCACGTTCTAAAATACGTTTTAGTTCTTGTCTGGCCATTTGGGTAGCCTCTAGAAGTTCGACGTCGGCATATACGCCTGTACTAACCAAGTCCATCATGTTACCATACCGTTGACTAAACTCCATGCATGTCAGTTTGAAGAATTCTTTTCGTTCTTTCAAACCCCCCCTTTCTGACACTCTTACTACGTCTATGGCGGCTTCCATTTGACGCACCGGCTCAGTCGATATTAAATGCAATTTAAACTTGTTGTAAATGAGTTCTATTATAGGAATGATGGTATCAAAGACCTCATTAATATCCTTCGATGCCTTCTTTGTTATCAATTTATTTGATACATGACATAATCTACTCAACATCGAAATGCCTTCACTTTCGATCACGTTCATAAACCGAATAAATGCCTCGACGTAACGACCTTCATCTACATAGTTCTTCATCACTGCGGTCAATGATTGACCTACGGCACGACCGATATAGGTGTCCAGTATAAAGGCCATAAAACTGTTTATACTTTGTACATTGGTTGACAGCGAATATCCAGTGAATATAAAACTGTATCCCACATCTTCAGTAACCGTAAAGGGTGGCATCACACCGTAGTTTTCATATGGTACTTTAACGTCCGGGATACTAACGCATCTTTTCTGTGGGGCTTCTTCGGTCATGTTCGGTTTATCTCGAGTATAGCACGTATTGTCCAAAAACACCAAACTCATAAATTTCCATTCTGTTATTTGCAAATTCTGAATGGTTTTCAGAAAGATAGAAAAACTAGAAAAACTAGAAATATTAGAAACACTTGAAAAACTAGAAAAAATAGAAAAAATAGAAAAACTAGAAAAAATTGAAAACTAGAAAAACTAAAAAAGTTTTTTTAGTTTTTCTAGTTTTTCAATTTTTTTCAGGTTTTTCAATTTTTTCTAGTGTTTCTAGAAAAGATAGAAAAACTAGAAAAACTAGAAAAACTAGAAATAATTGAAAAACTAGAAGAACTAGAAATCCTGACAAAATTGAAAAACTAGAAAAACCAGAAAAAATTGAAAAACTAGAAAAACTAGAATAGTTTTTTAGTTTTTTAGATAAACTAGAAATCCTGAAAAAATTGAAAAACTAGAAAAAAAGAAAAAATTGAAAAAATTGAAAAAATTGAAAAAATAGAAAAATTTAAAAACTAGAAAAACTAGAATAGTTTTTTAGTTTCTTAGCAAAACTAGAAATCCTGAAAAAATTGAAAATTTAGAAAAACTAGAAAAACTAGAAATCCTAAAAAACTAGAAAAACTAGAAAAAATTGAAAAACTAAAAAACTAGAAATCCTGACAAAATTGAAAAACTAGAAAAACTAGAAAAACTAGAAATCCTGAAAAAATTGAAAATTTAGAAAAACTAGAAATCCTGATTTAATTAAAAAACTAGAAAAACTAGAAAAAATGAAAAAAATTGAAAAACTAGAAATCCTGAAAAAATTAAAAAACTAGAAAAACTAGAAATCCTGATAAAATTGAAAAAATTGAAAAACTAGATATCCTGAAAAAATTGAAATACTAGAAAAACTAGAAATCCTGAAAAAATTGAAAATTTAAAAAAACTAGATTTTATTACAACTGAAAGTGATAAAATCACTTTTAAATAAACGCTTCGATGCGAATCTGTGGATAGTTAGTTCAAACCAGTTATAGCGGCTTAGAAGATATCGTGGGACCAGCAATAATGCACTTAAAATTTAATATTTAGTCTTGTGCAGGGTGGATACGATAAGGGTTGATCGTCTGTCTATAAAAATGTACTGTCATAGTTACCCATGTATCGTAATTAAAAATATAATGAAAATATTTTCATTTTACATATTTTTAAAGAAATTGTATATGTTGTAGTTCCATTGTAGATCTATCTTCGGCCTAATTTTCAGATCTAAATCTCTAAAATTTGCTTGAAAAAGTGAAATAAAGAAAAAAATTCTATCCCTTATAAGGGAAAGGGTTTATCATTTTTTTTTTGGTTTGTTAATGTTTATCGATAGTACTATATTTGAGGAACAATTCATATAAATTTGGAACATTTTCGACTATTTTTAAAAAAGTTATAGAGCATCGTAATTTTAAGTTGAAAAATTTGTACATTTTTTTCTCAATTTTTTTATAAGGAATAAAAATATCTAATAATAACACTGTCATTTTTGTAACGGCAATTAACGTTTGCCTGAGCTCTATATGTTTATTCTCCATTGACTGTTTGTTAATAACATAGACATTGCTTATCATTTTTACCAAAATTTAAGTAGACAACTGTGTGTGTTATGTTACAGGTTTGGACGCCCAAGACAGTCCAGCATTAGTATATTTAGATGAATAAATCAATAACCAGATTACAGTAAGTACATCTAAATGCTACATAATATCTAAATGTTCTTCTGCTGACAGAAGGGATGCCAAATAATATCAAATTTCAACTATTCGAATAAATAAATTCAAAAAATTGCATTAAAAAAAAATATTTTATTATTTGAGTAAAACATTTTTTTGTACATTCTTTGCAAATTTGTTTTACTATCATTTGTAGGTGTAAAAAAACTGACAATGAATTTAAAGCCAACGACACATGTAAGACATTGATAAATTATAAAAATAACACACGTGCAAATTGAAAATATTAAAAACAAACAAAATCACTACTACAAATAAATCTTATTTAAACCATTATAAAAATAAACTTAAATTTAAAAAGTAATGACACACATGCAATTAATTTACTAAGACATTTTTAAAACGTTATTATAAAGAAATACAAAAATAAATAAATAGATAAAATAAAAAATACAGTGCATAAGTTAGACAAAAAAAAAATTTTCTTTAATGTCAATTTTCTTCGACAGTAAATGTAATAGAGAATATAAAAATATTTAAAATTTAGTGATTTTACGTTACGTGAACATACTCAAGTCTTATGAATTGAATTTCAGCCGAATAAAATGCATTGACTAGTATAGGATCGGTGGGGGTTTGGAACTTCCTATTCACTGAAACATGCAAATCAAAAATTATAGAAGTAATATACTATAAGGATAGTAATTATTGACACACACATAAGACGTCAAAATAGGAATGTTTGAGAACAATTGGAAATAATTGTTGTAACGCTTTACAGCAGTAAAGAAGTCTCGACTCTGGAATATAAGTCTTGACCGATGTGTCAGTGTTACTCGACGTTGTGATAGGTAGGAGTATGCTTTTGTATAGTATAATTATCCAAGCTATAAAATGAACTTACGCTAATTGTACACAATGATTTTTTTGAATCTACGCTCGACACAGTTGGTGAAGTATTCAAAGGTCTAGGCGCTACTGATGAAACGGAAACTATTTTAATGCAGTTATCATCTTCATCTTCATCTTCGCTGATAAGAGATGAGTATAGTGAAGTGTCCGGACAACTGATAATCTTTGCTTTTTTATTTTCATAATATTCATCAATGTCCTGATGGTCTTCCGTTTGTCGTCGTTTGATAGGTTCTTTTTCTTCGCTGTAATCTATGGAAAAAAAAAGATTAAAATAAAGAATGTTTGTCTATTATTTGGGTTAGGATTTAAAACGCCGAGTCAGAAAACATAATACGTTGTCGATGGGAATATAATAAGAACATTAGCTGTAAAACATTTTAAATTTGACGCAAATACTTTTTTTTTTTTTAGACCACTAAAAAAAATTAAAATCAAACCTACCTAATTTGGTGTTTTTGACTTTATGTTTATTCGCAGGATGTGTCAATTTCCAATCTCTGTACAGATTTATCTTTGATTCGTTGTTGGTGCTTAGATAATTGTATTCGTGCTTTTCAACCCTTTGGAGATATTCTTCGAGCGAAAGTATTAAGCTCTCAGGGTTTCCCTCGGCTACGGATTCCTCGATAAGCGTACGGACTCCTTGCACAGTGTTGGCTATCATTTTGAAATTATCTTCGTTAGGTTTGAACTGGGATCTCGATCGAAACGTTTTACATATGCCTAAACAAAGTAGGAAATTGTTTTAAAAAAAGAGAAACAACAAAAAATCAACGTTATCTCACCTTTGAGCCTAGGCAATTCGTCTTCCAGATCTCTGTTTTCAAATGGTTCTCCTTTAAGACCGCCATCGAACTAGGGTAAAGTTAAAAACAAATAATTAGCTTAAAAAAGATAAATCATTTACATTTTTTTACATAAGTTCTCCTGTAAAAACGCATAGTTACCTTCTTATCATTGGAAGTTTTATGATAGTACAGTCGCAGATCGGGCATTATACTGAAGTAAAAATACTCTTCGGTACCATCATTGCTTTTCCATACTGTACATTTCTCTTCTTTACATTTTACAACAATGTCCTTCATACTTTTATATTTAAACTAAAAAAAAAAAAAACAGTTTACGAATAATTACTTTTAAAAAAATTAGCTCTCAAAATATGTCGTAGCTTAAATTAAAAAGCCGTAACTCTATAAATACTTTGGTTTTAATCAAACTAAAAGATTCTAAAAAGCATAGAAGTTTCATGAAGATTTTTACTTTTTTTTTTGGAAGCAATATCTAAAAAACAAGCTGCATCGCATCAAGCCATTCATCTAGCATTCGGTTTGGCCTGAACCGTCCAAAGCACGCAGGCGAGTCCAGTACTATCTTGTATTTAAAATACCTACGGTAAAATTAAATTAGAATGCAACAATTTTTGTCATATTCCAAATTTTGACTTGATAATGTTGAATTTTTTTTTTATCTACCACCATTGTTTTTTTATTTTAACTTGACTTCAAATTGTGTAAAACTCGGTCCGCGATGGTCTTACAGTAAACACACCGATTTTTAAATAAAAATATTGATATGACATCCCCCATTAAATTATCATCTTCTATATAATTACATTATGCAGTGCATCGTGTACTAAGCGTTCTTGGTGAAAGCCAACTCCAATAAAAATATTGATTAAAACGTTAGTTATTTAGTTGGTTTGACTTATAATTTTGATAATATTTTCAAGTTGTACTAATCTAATTGTTTGTGTAAATTTGACTATGAATGTTGTAAATTAACACGTCCGAACTGTACCGTGAAATATTTTGTAGGTATTTTAAATTTTAAAATCTTTGTTTATTTTTATTTAATTGTGAAGTTGGATTTAAGATATTTTAGCGGTTCATACCGATGCGCACCGATAGGACACATTTAAGAAAACCGTTTGATTGTGTGGCCGTTCACTTCTGATAACGTTATTTTTATTTATCACAATTTTCTTTTTTGTTATCAAAAAAAAAAATACAAGCAATAAAAGCAGCGATATTTTCTACACTAAGCTACAAGCTTTTTTTAAAGATAGGTTAGGTTAAAAAAAAAAGAAATAGTAAATAAATTGAATTTAAATTTTTAAGTCGTCAACTAAGATGTATTGTTATGATTAATTAATAATCACAAAAGTCGTAAGAAAAAAACATAAGACGGCCAAATGCAAAATAAAAAAAAACATTATGCAAGCATGCAAACTTGTGTGACATTGGCTTTTTGGCCATAAAATAATATTAACAGCAATTATTATCCGTGAATTAGTTTCAATGAAGAATTGGTCGATATTTTGAAAAAATAAACATCTTTAATTCTTTCAACAAATACACTGTCAATATGATTATTATTATCTTATATTGATCGCATTATGTTTGCAGTTAATTTATTGTTCAGACTTTGAAATAAAAAAAAATTAAAAATAATCGCGTATGACTTGGCCGGCTATGCAAAAACTACTGTTAAATAAAATTTAAACAAGCTCCGAGATCTACTTAACTATGGTTTTTAATATTTTATGCAGGATTATTAAACTTACCAGTACATGATCGCACAGTCCTTTAAGTAACCAGACTTTAACCAAGTATGGCAATTCAAAATATTCTTTATCGATTAATGGGTTCTTGTCGCCCACGACAGTCCAAAAATCTCGATGGATGCCGAATTCTTTGAAAACCTAAATAAAAATCACAAGTAGTTTCAATTGTAAAAAAAAACAATCTCTTTTTGCCATTATAATATACGTATGGTGCCATCGTATTGATTTGTTAAAAATTTAAACACTTACCTTAGCTTTGCCTTGGTCCTTTTCGTGGTAAACTTCAAACCAACTCGATATTTTTTTCGACAATTTCTCGGTCCAAACTTTGTATGACATTAAATTATTGATACATCTCTTACCGCTCATCGGCCCCAACAATAATGTCATTATTTTACTCATTAACGTCGACTCTTTAGGTATCAAAAACATCCCTTCGATTTCGCCTTGATATACATCTCCGATATGAAAAGTCCCAGCAAGAGCAGATACGAAGTTTCCGATTTCAGCCAACTGAAAAAAAATTATATTTATACAATTTTAGTATTAACGTATAATATAAATTTAAAATTGCATCGAAGCTAAAAGTATAAAATTAAATTTTTCATACAAACCTCCCACATTGAAGTTACATATTGACTGTGGCATTCAAAATCGATTTCATTTTTCCTTCTATTTAGTTCTTCTAATAACATAACACTTTTCTCAGTTAGGGCAATCTTATCCTCAATAGCGTTATGATATATCTTCAATCGTTCTGGACGACAATGAGCGACACTTTTTAATAACTTTGAATCATAATGGTCTGAAATGACAATTTAAATTGAAATAAATACCCATTATTAAAAATATATATATATATATATATGTTAACAATATTCGTTTAACAGTAATACAAAATTAACACAAGCAACTACGACATCACAAATTTTGTAATAAATATGAAAATACCTTTAGGGTATAAGTATTTATAGTCGTAAGTCTTCTCCGTTTTAAATATATCCAACGCCTGTTGAACATCTGTTGTACTCTTTAGACGCCTGCAACACAATCAAATAATAATATTTAACATAAATAGTTGTTTTCCTTAAGGTACAACTGTGTGATCGATCATAAGTGCGTAGGTTGATGAGATGAATTATTTAAATGAAACGTTCACTAAAATTAGCTGTTAACATAAATTGTTAAAGCCATTAGTTGTTGTACTAAATTTATTATGAGGAGGCACTTATGAACAATTATAATTTATTATTTGTAAAATATTATTACTCGTCCAGGCAAAAAATACATTCATCCAACAATTTTTCAACGTTCAAAGCAGCATAAGTAGTCTTATGTCTAGGGCCAAAATATTTGTAACAGTTCAACAAAAGACATCGTATTTCCGTAATCACATCGGCAAACGACTTGTATTCTCCGTCTTCCGCATTCATTTCGACTAAAATTATAGATTATATTTATTAGACTATTTTTTAAAATCCAACGAAAATATGACAGCGTTTACTATAAACGTTTTATTTTATACATACTCTCGTATAAGTCTCTGTTGTCTCTTTTATCAATGTATTCTAGGTAATCCAAATTATGAGCAATTACTTGAACACATTGTGGAGCTACTGTATAGAGTTGCCTTATTATTCTATAAATATTTGTATTATTATTATTACTGTTTCAAAATATTATTTGTAAATTTGAAAAATAAAATAATTTAATGCTTACAATATGGCTTGGTGTAGTTCTTGCTTTTTTTCATCCACAAAATTCGTTGACTCGTCCATGTTTACCTAAACATACAAAAATTGCGGTTTATAGATGTTATTGATTTTCAAACAAATATATATATTTATATACAGATAGATTTCCACAAATATTTAGTCAATAGAATCATGTTTTTTCCGTTGAATATTTAACACAATACTTTTAATCTCGTGTTTAATTAAATTACTATTTAATAACATATATTTTACTTATAGAAATACAGTTTTTACCTATGTTAGTGCCTGCACAACTTTAAATTGTGCTATCCTTAAGAGTTAAAATGCGATAGGTCACTACGAAACCATTCATCGCAACACAAGTAGTTTCAACGCAAATCAAATAAAACTAAACATTAGAATTTCAATAAACATATAGGTATATACCTATATTTTATTAACTAGTTTTCATAAAAAAAATAAACATTATTAATTATTTATCATATTATTATAATGTCTACTATTTTTTCATCAGTTAATAATGTAAACAATTCAATGATAACCACCACCTATATCATCCCTCTTATCACATTCGACTCTTAATCTAATTATTATTACCAAAAAAAAAAAAAAAATGATTAGCAAATCCAAGTTTACCAATGATTCGATTATAATAATACAAATAAAAATCGATAAATGTATCGATTGTATAACCTACCTAAGAAATAAACGCACAATTGTTTTTTTTAAATTAACGCTATGGCTTTTATTTTTAGTCATACTGTTATAATTTTAGAATTGCCCAAACAAAGGTAGAAAGCAAAATAGTTGACATAAAATACACTAAAAGCTATATAAATTAGCGTTTATGTATTATTTCACGGTATTCAAATAGTTTTAAATATGCCTAGTGACAATAGTAAAATTAAATGTTTTCTTTTAGTTTTTAAATAAAAATATTTTTTTTTAAAGATAATATTAAATTCAAATTAATTTCAATTTTTCTGTGTTCACTTGACTATAGAAACGACACTTATCGCATAAAATAGTTACTAAACGTAGCTTAAGTATTGTGACCAAGTTTGTTAAAATCTAAATGAAAAATTGGACATAACATTATGCCAATATCTCATAAATAGTATATGGATTATAAAACCCAGAAAAAAAAATTTTTAACATAGTAGTTATTTAAGTCAATGGTGTAAACATTTAATTGTGAGCGCAAACACAGTTCCCATAAAGTAACCGCAAAATAAAAATATTGCTGAGTAATATAGGGACAAAATACTAATTCTTTGATTGAGTTTGAACTGTTCTAAGAACATCAGAGACGAGTGAAAGTGTTTAGTTCTTTTTAAACAGCCATAAGATATAAAGACACTACGCTGCTCTGATAAAACTGAATTAGCGTTGTGTATTCTAATAATTAATTTTTGAATAAGAGTAATAAAAATGTATAAACTTATTAATTAAATTGTATAAATATCAAGAAAATAAATAGGGATAGCTACTGGTAAGAACTTGTACTGCATGTTAACATGATTTTGACGTCAGAGAGTTGTCATACGAAATGTTCAAAAAATGTTATGTTATTTTTTTAAAAATAATAGCTCAAACAAAAAAAAATCCTTCGGGTTATTTAATTTTGTACAAATCACTCTTCATACCACCTAGTTTCATTTCAATAATTATTGCAAAAAAAATTCGGGATCATTGTGTTATGGTAAGATAAACTGATAAAATTTTAAATTTAGTTTAGAAATTGTGGTGAATTTTTTAAATGATTATTCTCTGGACTAATATTTTAACTTGAAATTTCTGTTTGTACAAACGTTCAAAAAAAAAACAACGCTCAGAAAGACCGTCGACGAAATACACGTTGGTAATTTAAAGTGATTTAATACATTTTTAAATAAAATAAATAACAAATTTATCATTTATTTACCTGGAGGTCGGTGGTCATCATCGGATCTGCGTCAATGTCCATTAGACTTCTTTGGATATTGGAATATTCTTGAAATAAACACTGTTAGAAGAGACTCGTTACAACGTTGTGCTCGTCCGGAAACCGAATGTCGTTTGCCAAAAAACCAAAATATGATTCACCAGCTAATGTTTGGGACACGCCATTACAATAGATAAGGTCTACGGTCAAAATTTCAAATGCGCCATCTACCGCGACCAGCAGGTACCTACAACCTCTTTGGGCGTTTCCAAAGAGATTGTAAGCGACCCGTACCTGTTGTGGCGGGCTCGGGACAATTTCAAAACCGAATAATATTACCTATTATACTTCTCATCGTGTTTATGATTATAATGAAGAATGTATTTATTACCTTGGAAAAGGTTATTTTTCATATCGTTCAACTAATTAACACAACCCGCGTACATCAAGGTAAATAAAAACGGCTGTAATCGTATCTTTTGTGGGCTACAAGAGTCTTATTACTAATCGATTTTCAATGATCTCAGAGTGACCGATTTTTGTGGCTTCATCGTTTATTATTAGTTTACAATATTGTTGATTATCAATGTTTATATTTAAACATACGAAACAATAATCAGAAGCGGACACCCAAAACAATTTGGCAAAACAAAGTTTTAGGTTTTAAATTGTTTTTTTATTGGTTTTTAGGAGAGGGAAACAAGATAAATACTTCTCCTTCCCCTCTCCTCTTTCTCGTTAAAAGCGAACCGGTTATTGGCCGCTGGTACTAATATTAGTTAAAGTAATTGACATACGTTTATTTGTAATTAGTATAGTATGTTAGATAAAATAGGGTTAAATAATTGTATTATAATAACGTAATGATACAATTTTATTACTTTAACTAAAAATAACATTTTAGTGAGATCATTTTAGTTTTTTTAACTAAAAATAACATTATAATGAGATCTATACTCGATTTCGTTGATTTGTGTTTATATGTATCTATCTTTATTAAATATAATCAACAGTTTCGATAGGAACGAAATAAAAAAGGCGAAAATTTAAGTTCAATTAAATTAATTTAAAAGTAAAAAAAAAAAAAATTGGGCTAGTTAAGAGGCAAAAAAATAGACATTATTTAACAAAAATTTATCTAGTAACAATTTTAAGTAAACCGACTAATTTTAATGAAAATAAATATTACGTTTATCTAGTTATAAAACTTTAAGTTATTTTTCTCCGAGTTATGGACCTAACCGAACGTTTTCCAGCGTTATCTATTGGGCGGATTTCAATTTTTATTTTCTTTGTGTGAAGTTTACTATTTTCTCTATGCGGGCCAAGAGGCCGATTTCTTATTTAGCCATTTGAAAATACCGTAAAAATATAAACGTGTAAACCAAAGCGTTCCGTTTTGAAATAGTGTATAGTTTTACACGCTGTTTGTTTAAAAAAAAAAGTGTTGTATCACAGTGTACACTTTTTTCACACCGACCGTAGAGTAGGTGTAATACCTAATTTTCGGCGTTGGTCGTTATCATATTTCTTATCAACCAAATTGTATTATCAATAGAAAACAGTTATCAGTTGATTAATCCTACACCAAAAACACGTTTGTTTTGAAATACCACACCATTTACACTTGACGCTAATTGGTGTAATTTTTTGTCAAAACGAACAAAGCTATTATTGTACCAAAATTGAATTTTTCAATGTATTAAGTCGAAAACTTATATTTTCGACCTAAGTCGTTTGTACCAAGCATATCCAGTATATATATATATTTTATTGATATAATAATATATATTATATGCATTGATAACACACCTAAATCCCACCAGAATGGCGGACCGTCGGCTTCAATTCTTATCGCTAGTTAGCAATCTAGTTTATTATATATATTTGTGTATCAAAGTCTCTTGTACTCTCTCTTTCGTTTAACGTCTTGTACACGCTAAATAATAACAATAGTAATGTTATAATATTTGCGAACAATACAAAAATTGCAATCTTCGTACTACCGGGGGAGGGGTTGGGGGGTGTTTTAGCCGTCGCCATTCTGCGGTAGTCAATAATAGTAAACGGCCACCACTTGGGTGGTGCAAAACAGCTCGGCGTTGCGGTAATTCTCGTGGACCAGCCGATCGGTTTTCTCGTCCCACAGGCACCGCATGCCGATGGTGACCGACTGCCAACGATGCGCCCCGATGAACGTGTGTGCAATTATCTTGTACCGGGACCCCGCCGGGCGTGTGTCGTCGCATATCTCCTTGACGCGGCGCTCCACGTCCCGGACAACGGCCCGGCAAGTGACCTTGTGGTCCAGGTCTTCCCACGTCTTCCCGGCCAGGTAATCCGAGTGGACGGTTTGCACGGCGGTCCTGACCAGCCGCTCGTTGAACGCGTCCCTCAGCCGGGGCCTGACCCTGAACCCGCCGAGCGATTGTAACGATTCGTCCGCTCGCCTGTGGTCGTACTCCCAGTTCGGTTTGCCCGCAAAGATTTTCTCTGTCTCCGCCGTCGTCATGTCTTCGTAACCTCGGCCCTCTTACACCCACACACAATGTATACTAACATACATAAAATATAGATAACAGGCAACACTTGGTTTTTAATCCAAAACAAACGCATCCCAAAAAAAAAAAAAAAAAAGCCCCGTGACACGGTATAAACACAGCATGCGTTGCCCGGCTAACGGTCGCCTATGGCACGGGGGAAGCGTGTTATTACCCGGGTTGGCGTTGAGAATTTAAATTTAACAATAATATCAATTAAATACATAGGTAAAACTCAAACCTCGGCAAAGTATATTATATTTTTTACTGTGACTCGACCATGTCGTATCAATTGTATGTTAGGTATAATATAGTATACATAATAATATACATTATAATGTATATACTATATATACATTATTAAAACTTATAAAAACACATTGCCCCTTTTCCGCAGTCGGGTATTGACATATTATATAAATAATCAAAAAATATAAAAATCCAAATAATAAATAATATGGTTTGTCCGACGAACATAGATCCTTTTTTTTTTTTTGTACCGGTCTTCGAATTTCGAATCCGACCTTTACAAGTATAATATAGTTATCTAAAGAACGACAATAGTAATGAAGGGTGTTTTTAAAAATACTATATAAGACCGCAGCGTAGGTATATGCCTATTGTTATCAAATGTGTATAAATTCCGATTGTTTGGTAAATATCTATGGCATTGTTGAATAGGTAAAAAAATAACCAGGCCAAATGCTGATGAAAAAAGGTTCCCAATGCTATAAAGGCTAAAATTTTTCATCTACCTAAAATAAATCGAAAATGATTTTATCAAACGACTAAGTGTGACAAAAAAAAAATCATTTTTTTTTTTTTTTTTGGGAAGCGTTTGTTTTGGATTAAAAACCTATTTTATAGCCCAAATCATTTTTTTCTCTCTAAAATGATTGATTGTTGCCTGTTATCTATATTTTATGTATGTTAGTATACATTGTGTGTGGGTGTAAGAGGGCCGAGGTTACGAAGACATGACGACGGCGGAGACAGAGAAAATCTTTGCGGGCAAACCGAACTGGGAGTACGACCACAGGCGAGCGGACGAATCGTTACAATCGCTCGGCGGGTTCAGGGTCAGGCCCCGGCTGAGGGACGCGTTCAACGAGCGGCTGGTCAGGACCGCCGTGCAAACCGTCCACTCGGATTACCTGGCCGGGAAGACGTGGGAAGACCTGGACCACAAGGTCACTTGCCGGGCCGTTGTCCGGGACGTGGAGCGCCGCGTCAAGGAGATATGCGACGACACACGCCCGGCGGGGTCCCGGTACAAGATAATTGCACACACGTTCATCGGGGCGCATCGTTGGCAGTCGGTCACCATCGGCATGCGGTGCCTGTGGGACGAGAAAACCGATCGGCTGGTCCACGAGAATTACCGCAACGCCGAGCTGTTTTGCACCACCCAAGTGGTGGCCGTTTACTATTATTGACTACCGCAGAATGGCGACGGCTAAAACACCCCCCAACCCCTCCCCCGGTAGTACGAAGATTGCAATTTTTGTATTGTTCGCAAATATTATAACATTACTATTGTTATTATTTAGCGTGTACAAGACGTTAAACGAAAGAGAGAGTACAAGAGACTTTGATACACAGATATATATAATAAACTAGATTGCTAACTAGCGATAAGAATTGAAGCCGACGGTCCGCCATTCTGGTGGGATTTAGGTGTGTTATCAATGCATATAATATATATTATTATATCAATAAAATATATATATATACTGGATATGCTTGGTACAAACGACTTAGGTCGAAAATATAAGTTTTCGACTTAATACATTGAAAAATTCAATTTTGGTACAATAATAGCTTTGTTCGTTTTGACAAAAAATTACACCAATTAGCGTCAAGTGTAAATGGTGTGGTATTTCAAAACAAACGTGTTTTTGGTGTAGGATTAATCAACTGATAACTGTTTTCTATTGATAATACAATTTGGTTGATAAGAAATATGATAACGACCAACGCCGAAAATTAGGTATTACACCTACTCTACGGTCGGTGTGAAAAAAGTGTACACTGTGATACAACACTTTTTTTTTAAACAAACAGCGTGTAAAACTATACACTATTTCAAAACGGAACGCTTTGGTTTACACGTTTATATTTTTACGGTATTTTCAAATGGCTAAATAAGAAATCGGCCTCTTGGCCCGCATAGAGAAAATAGTAAACTTCACACAAAGAAAATAAAAATTGAAATCCGCCCAATAGATAACGCTGGAAAACGTTCGGTTAGGTCCATAACTCGGAGAAAAATAACTTAAAGTTTTATAACTAGATAAACGTAATATTTATTTTCATTAAAATTAGTCGGTTTACTTAAAATTGTTACTAGATAAATTTTTGTTAAATAATGTCTATTTTTTTGCCTCTTAACTAGCCCAATTTTTTTTTTTTTTACTTTTAAATTAATTTAATTGAACTTAAATTTTCGCCTTTTTTTATTTCGTTCCTATCGAAACTGTTGATTATATTTAATAAAGATAGATACATATAAACACAAATCAACGAAATCGAGTATAGATCTCATTATAATGTTATTTTTAGTTAAAAAAACTAAAATGATCTCACTAAAATGTTATTTTTAGTTAAAGTAATAAAATTGTATCATTACGTTATTATAATACAATTATTTAACCCTATTTTATCTAACATACTATACTAATTACAAATAAACGTATGTCAATTACTTTAACTAATATTAGTACCAGCGGCCAATAACCGGTTCGCTTTTAACGAGAAAGAGGAGAGGGGAAGGAGAAGTATTTATCTTGTTTCCCTCTCCTAAAAACCAATAAAAAAACAATTTAAAACCTAAAACTTTGTTTTGCCAAATTGTTTTGGGTGTCCGCTTCTGATTATTGTTTCGTATGTTTAAATATAAACATTGATAATCAACAATATTGTAAACTAATAATAAACGATGAAGCCACAAAAATCGGTCACTCTGAGATCATTGAAAATCGATTAGTAATAAGACTCTTGTAGCCCACAAAAGATACGATTACAGCCGTTTTTATTTACCTTGATGTACCCGGGTTGTGTTAATTAGTTGAACGATATGAAAAATAACCTTTTCCAAGGTAATAAATACATTCTTCATTATAATCATAAACACGATGAGAAGTATAATAGGTAATATTATTCGGTTTTGAAATTGTCCCGAGCCCGCCACAACAGGTACGGGTCGCTTACAATCTCTTTGGAAACGCCCAAAGAGGTTGTAGGTACCTGCTGGTCGCGGTAGATGGCGCATTTGAAATTTTGACCGTAGACCTTATCTATTGTAATGGCGTGTCCCAAACATTAGCTGGTGAATCATATTTTGGTTTTTTGGCAAACGACATTCGGTTTCCGGACGAGCACAACGTTGTAACGAGTCTCTTCTAACAGTGTTTATTTCAAGAATATTCCAATATCCAAAGAAGTCTAATGGACATTGACGCAGATCCGATGATGACCACCGACCTCCAGGTAAATAAATGATAAATTTGTTATTTATTTTATTTAAAAATGTATTAAATCACTTTAAATTACCAACGTGTATTTCGTCGACGGTCTTTCTGAGCGTTGTTTTTTTTTTGAACGTTTGTACAAACAGAAATTTCAAGTTAAAATATTAGTCCAGAGAATAATCATTTAAAAAATTCACCACAATTTCTAAACTAAATTTAAAATTTTATCAGTTTATCTTACCATAACACAATGATCCCGAATTTTTTTTGCAATAATTATTGAAATGAAACTAGGTGGTATGAAGAGTGATTTGTACAAAATTAAATAACCCGAAGGATTTTTTTTTGTTTGAGCTATTATTTTTAAAAAAATAACATAACATTTTTTGAACATTTCGTATGACAACTCTCTGACGTCAAAATCATGTTAACATGCAGTACAAGTTCTTACCAGTAGCTATCCCTATTTATTTTCTTGATATTTATACAATTTAATTAATAAGTTTATACATTTTTATTACTCTTATTCAAAAATTAATTATTAGAATACACAACGCTAATTCAGTTTTATCAGAGCAGCGTAGTGTCTTTATATCTTATGGCTGTTTAAAAAGAACTAAACACTTTCACTCGTCTCTGATGTTCTTAGAACAGTTCAAACTCAATCAAAGAATTAGTATTTTGTCCCTATATTACTCAGCAATATTTTTATTTTGCGGTTACTTTATGGGAACTGTGTTTGCGCTCACAATTAAATGTTTACACCATTGACTTAAATAACTACTATGTTAAAAATTTTTTTTTCTGGGTTTTATAATCCATATACTATTTATGAGATATTGGCATAATGTTATGTCCAATTTTTCATTTAGATTTTAACAAACTTGGTCACAATACTTAAGCTACGTTTAGTAACTATTTTATGCGATAAGTGTCGTTTCTATAGTCAAGTGAACACAGAAAAATTGAAATTAATTTGAATTTAATATTATCTTTAAAAAAAAAATATTTTTATTTAAAAATTAAAAGAAAACATTTAATTTTACTATTGTCACTAGGCATATTTAAAACTATTTGAATACCGTGAAATAATACATAAACGCTAATTTATATAGCTTTTAGTGTATTTTATGTCAACTATTTTGCTTTCTACCTTTGTTTGGGCAATTCTAAAATTATAACAGTATGACTAAAAATAAAAGCCATAGCGTTAATTTAAAAAAAATAATTGTGCGTTTATTTCTTAGGTAGGTTATACAATCGATACATTTATCGATTTTTATTTGTATTATTATAATCGAATCATTGGTAAACTTGGATTTGCTAATCATTTTTTTTTTTTTTTTGGTAATAATAATTAGATTAAGAGTCGAATGTGATAAGAGGGATGATATAGGTGGTGGTTATCATTGAATTGTTTACATTATTAACTGATGAAAAAATAGTAGACATTATAATAATATGATAAATAATTAATAATGTTTATTTTTTTTATGAAAACTAGTTAATAAAATATAGGTATATACCTATATGTTTATTGAAATTCTAATGTTTAGTTTTATTTGATTTGCGTTGAAACTACTTGTGTTGCGATGAATGGTTTCGTAGTGACCTATCGCATTTTAACTCTTAAGGATAGCACAATTTAAAGTTGTGCAGGCACTAACATAGGTAAAAACTGTATTTCTATAAGTAAAATATATGTTATTAAATAGTAATTTAATTAAATACGAGATTAAAAGTATTGTGTTAAATATTCAACGGAAAAAACATGATTCTATTGACTAAATATTTGTGGAAATCTATCTGTATATAAATATATATATTTGTTTAAAATCAATAACATCTATAAACCGCAATTTTTGTATGTTTAGGTAAACATGGACGAGTCAACGAATTTTGTGGATGAAAAAAAGCAAGAACTACACCAAGCCATATTGTAAGCATTAAATTATTTTATTTTTCAAATTTACAAATAATATTTTGAAACAGTAATAATAATAATACAAATATTTATAGAATAATAAGGCAACTCTATACAGTAGCTCCACAATGTGTTCAAGTAATTGCTCATAATTTGGATTACCTAGAATACATTGATAAAAGAGACAACAGAGACTTATACGAGAGTATGTATAAAATAAAACGTTTATAGTAAACGCTGTCATATTTTCGTTGGATTTTAAAAAATAGTCTAATAAATATAATCTATAATTTTAGTCGAAATGAATGCGGAAGACGGAGAATACAAGTCGTTTGCCGATGTGATTACGGAAATACGATGTCTTTTGTTGAACTGTTACAAATATTTTGGCCCTAGACATAAGACTACTTATGCTGCTTTGAACGTTGAAAAATTGTTGGATGAATGTATTTTTTGCCTGGACGAGTAATAATATTTTACAAATAATAAATTATAATTGTTCATAAGTGCCTCCTCATAATAAATTTAGTACAACAACTAATGGCTTTAACAATTTATGTTAACAGCTAATTTTAGTGAACGTTTCATTTAAATAATTCATCTCATCAACCTACGCACTTATGATCGATCACACAGTTGTACCTTAAGGAAAACAACTATTTATGTTAAATATTATTATTTGATTGTGTTGCAGGCGTCTAAAGAGTACAACAGATGTTCAACAGGCGTTGGATATATTTAAAACGGAGAAGACTTACGACTATAAATACTTATACCCTAAAGGTATTTTCATATTTATTACAAAATTTGTGATGTCGTAGTTGCTTGTGTTAATTTTGTATTACTGTTAAACGAATATTGTTAACATATATTATATATATATATTTTTAATAATGGGTATTTATTTCAATTTAAATTGTCATTTCAGACCATTATGATTCAAAGTTATTAAAAAGTGTCGCTCATTGTCGTCCAGAACGATTGAAGATATATCATAACGCTATTGAGGATAAGATTGCCCTAACTGAGAAAAGTGTTATGT